AACCGAACCTTTGGAACATCAAGAAATAAATTTCACATAATTAAACGCCCTATATTATCTACTTAACCCTGAACCAGTGAATACTTACCCTTCAACTTGCTTTTTACCCCTTTCTGATAGGCCTTAACTCAAGAAGGTTTCTTTTATGTTGGCAAAAAGTCGCTACGTCGTCTGCGACTGCTGGCCATTCTACATCTTCAACGCTGTTACGACATGCTACCATCCGTCCAAAAAAATATAGAAGAGAAGGATTCTTCGGAGTCGCGGTCAGACACCGAATCTTCCGAGACACATCAAATTGGTGAGCCACATTGTTGACCACTTTCATGTGCTGCGTATGCTTAACATCCGAGGTGGTTATAATGCCAAAATATAAACTGGCTACTTGCTATTTTCCAGGCCATTTATCATTCTTACAACTCTGCAGACAATGCAGGTGTGAGAAAACAAAAAAGTATCTTTAAACCTTATTTACCAGACTAAATCATTCCATCCTTACTGTAGTAGATCATTTTAAAATATGCTAGCCAAGGCAGCCTAGCCCTTTGTTTGATCCCATTTTCCCCTTGTTACATAGACCTATAGTATTTGCTTCGTGGCATCGCTGTTGTCACGGGAAGGTTCCAACAGCGGAGTTGTACCGACTATATACAGCTAGTCTTGTTAAGCGGTTGAAAGCTGAGTAAATTACTTGCTTTCTTTATATGCATCCCTTCTGTCGCTTCTGTTTACTGACTCCCCCAACTTAGCCAGCTTCAATTCAGACGCCCTGTGCCCTCATGGACGGCTCGTGAACCAATCGCGCTTGCATTGTCTTCCTCAGACACTATGGTGTCGCATTGAAGCCCTCTTTTCAGAGCCCATCTCCATGCTGCCAGTCAACCCTCCACTGTCGGATTCCTCAGAGCTATCGGGCAAAATACGCTCCAGCAAGAGGCGAGCCGCCGATGCGGTCACGACACGCGTCGAGTGTGATAGCGATGCCGTTGGTGGTTTGGGTGGCCGATCAGCTCCATTCTCGGTCACCACACTGGCTAGAAATATACGCATTATCGGCCCTACAGACAGATCCTCTTCCTATACCTGTAGTGATGTTGCTAGTACTACCACCTTTTCCACTCCAAGGCCTCCGATACCTGGTATTCTCACCTTTCCTTGTGCGGAGGCTCATGGTCAAGTCTGGATGCCTGGGACATGTGTACACTGCTCCGCGGCCCAACAGGACCTCTGCCAGCGGGCTGTTGTCGAATGCCAGCATCTGGCGGCTCTGGCGGGGCAAGGTCTCGTTGCTGCCATCGCAGCAGCCGCACAACCAGTTCAGGGCCAACAGGCACCTATTTCAACAGTTGAAGCCATTACGAATGCCTCTTGTCTAGTCGGTGGACGCCTAGAAAATAGCAAAAGTGAGGCTGGCACTGGTTTTGGCAACGGCTCAACTGTTGAGGGATTGGAAGAAATCTGTGGCCAGTATACTGGACCGGTGTTTTCAACTAACAGGGGCTCCATCATGACTCTGGCCAGCGGTAATGAAGCGGATTGTGGCTTTGAGACGCGAGATTGCAGTAGCCTTCTAAGGCTCGCATTTATGTCATCCCCCAACCAAGGCAAGTTAAGCCCTCTTTCGTGGCTTTTTTGAATTAGGGCTTATTTGCCTACTGTTCTATGCCTCTCCGGATCTTTCAAGTTTATCACCGTGCTTATCTTAAATTAACATTATCTTTAATCTCCTTATCTCTCAAAAAGTGTGATCCTTTTTATTTATTTTTTTCTGTTAACCCATGCTTTACTCTTGTTATTTTGGCAAACTATTTTTATTTAAATGTTTCATCTTGTTTTTGACATAAAATTAGCATAAGACTTTTTGAGACCCAGTTTATTAGCATATAACAATAGTAAGCTTACCAAACACCTCGAATTCACCTATATTATTGGCATATATGCTTTACAAATATGCATAAATCACTCAGATTCGTCTATAAGTGTTGCAACTCGAGGTGATTAAAAAACCCTGGCAAAATTAAAGCGCATTTTAAGTGCGATTTTTCAATGCTATAGGGCCAAATAGCTTAGAACTAAAGCCACACTGAGCCTTATTTTAAGGGATTTACTATTAATACACACCAAGGCTGACAATAAGTTCTATATAAGAGACCCACAAGCGAGAAGTAAGTGTTATAACAAACTTAGGAACTCAGACAGGATGGTTAGACTTACAAATCAGGAACTTGATCGACTTCAAAATATCCTTGGGCATAAAGTCACATTAAAGGTATCACATCATAGGTCGTGATATAGGTCTGATTCAAGAAGAATTTCTGCCATATCTGACATATCAGGTGCTTTTTCATCATTTGAAGAAGCACAGCCAATCCTCTTTCACATAGTTTCACTGGCTCCTTGCAAAATAATCTGAATCCCTTTGGTTTAATATCGTTCAGTAAAACAATTAAGTAGAGTTCGTAATTTTTTTCAGGTTAATTTTTTAGCCTATCCTAGGCTAGGATTATCAAGCAGAAAAACTACTGTTTTTTTTCCACCGTGTTCCTGTTGATGCTATAACTCGGAACTGATCTTTAGTAACCTTTTGAATAAAATGGAGTAAGAGAAGCTTTATGTTTCAATGTCTCTATCTTCAGTAAAGCCATTTCAAAAATTTATATTTTCTTATTCCATATATTTTGCTTGGGTAGTTTGATAATAATAGACTCCATTCCTAAATCGGAATACAGCCACTTATTTTCATGGAATTCTCTTAGGCCCCATCTTTATCTTGTCTATTTGTACCACCATACTTACTTTTATATATGTTCCATAGAAATAGCAAAAAAATATTTATAATTGAAATATTTTCATACTGGCCTTAATTTTCATTTAATATAGTGTCGACTGTTAGACATCACCAAGTTCAGCCATAAATCGAAAGCCAATAGTAGTAAGAAAGCTGAAAATATCTAAATAATGTTGGGAAATATAGTTTTGCCTTCACTGTCTCTTGTATGCATTCGTGAATCCGTTTCAATTTTTCAAAAAATATTTATTTGATCCAGGTTTTTTTCCCCTTGTCTCATGTACTCTTCACCAGGTTAAGATAATTCAGAGTTTAATATGATTTTGATGCGGCCAATAATTTGGGCAGGTTGATGTCTTTCTAAATAAGCGCTAATTAAATGCTGTCCAACCTGGGTCACTAAAATGATATTTTAGTTTTTCATACATTGAGATGAGTAAGCCTCTCAATTATATTAAATTTCACATAGTTTTCCTCCCAAAAGCATTTTGCATCCTAGATGCATTACAGTTTCGACTTCATCTAGTTCTCATCGACACTCTGGATTCGATAGTGGTTTTTGATTATCATGGCAACGTTTATCACTCCACTACACGGCTGCAGGTGCCAGTAAGTCACCTTAGTGAAATTCAATGGCATTGTGAGGCCTACTCATCTCATTTTTAGAAAAGCTTAATTATCGGTCCTTTAAGTACCTTAAGCGACCTAGAGTGACTAAGTTCTTGTTCAGAATTACTAATACTTTCAAACCCTTACTTAGATAGAAAAGAAATGATACTCGTTCTGACATAGCATAATAAAATGCCCCTTAAGTCACATGGATAGCGAATATGTATTGTCTTTTCGTAAAATTGTTAAAAATGCGATTTACAACAAAGGGGTTAAAATACTCGTTTATAAGTGGTTCGACGCATTCCTAACTTTGTCGGGTTGTTAGGTTGATCTAAATGAACACACCTTATTTGGAGTCTACTATAGTAGTCAGTATAATTTCTAACATATGACCGTAGAATTGATAAATTCCCAAATGTTTTAGCCTTATAGTCGACAGCATTAGTTAGTCTTGCCATTCCTAGCATCAAGATATAAGTAATTAGAGAGGGAAGTCCATATTCTGACAAACTTACTGGTGAATGGTTGTGATACCTCCCCTTATTCTGTCCTGGTACATCTACGTATCCTATATCCTTGGATCACTAAAGATGTCGGCGAAACTTTTGGAATGTATAATCTACGATCTGACGCTAGAAGTCAGCGTTTTTCTATGGCCGTGAACCTAGAATAAGACGCATTAATTGAGTTCGAGAGAGTAGAGAGATTGCGACTAAACTAGACGTCACGCTAGCTTTACCTCCACTGCGGTTTAGCACTCATTTACTTAGGATTTTAAAAGTCTGCCTTCTCTAATGTTCCAAAAGAATGTGTTTTGGGGAATCGGACTATTGGTGGCTTTTACTCTCCAACATTTCATTGGAGTAAAAAGCGCACAGATGCTAATTCCCTACTAAAACGCCACTTTAAGTGTATTCGGCTCAGAGCAAAATAAGCATTGCTATTTCATAAATAAACATGTTTAAATACGTTTATGATCCTGATAATTTATACAGGTAAAAATTGCTTCTTGACCTCTCCAGTTTGGTTCAAAAATTTACCACCTAAAAACAGCGAAAATTTTAGAATTTTCCAATTTATTCTTTTGTCATAATATATACTTGTGAATTAGTTTTTTCTATAAGATAAGCTATGCTAACTTAAACTAAACGTAGCTTAATCGAAGATATGAAGACCAGGATGGTGTCGCCTTTTATATGGTGGCGATCTCCTTTCGTTTTACAGAAGTTTGACCTTGGTTTCGCAACTTAATCGTATTAGCAGGAAGGCCTAGAGGAACGCACCTTGTCCGGAGTCCATAGTATGCATGATAATTTCCAGATTCTGACCGTGGACGTGGTACATTCTCAGACGTTTCGTCGACATCTTAGTCGGCATCGTCAGGGAGTCTTGTCATTTTTAGCACCACACGACAATTCGTCAAATAGACAAGTGAAGTCGACCCTTTGACCAAATGTGTGCTAAAAAGTTGTGTTTAAACATTGAACCTAATCAAAGCAAGCAGTACCACAACATTTGCGGGTCGGCACACAAGAAACTAGGGCATAGAAAATCATAGACTTGCAATTACGGATGTGGTGCTAATAGTGGCAAGACTCATTGACGATGCCGGCGAAATGTCTGGGAATGTACCACGTTCACGGTCCGACTTTGGAAATGATCATACACACAATGGACTTCGGACAAGGTGCGTTCCTCTAAGTCTTTCTACCAATACGAACAGGTTGCGAAAACATGATCAAATAACTTCTATAAGTTTATATTTATTATCTAAATTGCTACATTCACCTATTTTAGCTTGTAATAGCCAATTATCAGAACTCAGCTTGTACTCAATCGTAAGTCCGGGCTTCTTTTGGGCATAATTAACTCACATTCAATCCTTTGCATTTAATTATTATCCGCCTAGAAGATATAAGTATATGTTTCTATGGAAGTCGATTAATGGACTTAGTAAATTTGTATAGTTTATTATATTCTTTTTTTCTAATATCATTTTTATTTTTGACTGATTAACTCATGCGATCACTGGGCGAATTATTCATTTTTGCATCATGTGTCGCTGTATTTAATTTATGTTTTAATATTATGTAAAGTATATCTGCCATATACTTTTCGTCGCTATTTTCTTTCTATGAGTTTACGATAACTCTTGCGATTTATCTCTTTTATCTTTTACCATAGGAATCTCCTCTCAAAGCTCTAATTTCCGTGTATCAGCGTGTGTAAATGATTTTGCCTCAAATAAATCCGATCGAGACCTTGATTCACGCTTTATGAAATCCAGTCCACTTCGCTGGTAAGTGCCGTTTCCAACTGCCTCTCAGGCTTACTTAGACCTCTTACTAACATGTTAATTTTTCCTTGAACTCTTTGTCTTTACATTATTTATATTCCTTTTCTTATTCTCTCTTATCGTTACCATTTCTTTTATTTGCCTAGTCTTACTGGCAAGCTTGCCTCAATAAAATTTAGCAATACTCCGAATTCTCCACCTCCAAATCCACTTTCAAGGAGCAAGGGACATCTTTCCGAGCCACTACAGAGTGTGGCTAGTTCTAAATCATATCCCAGCATCACTGCTAGTGTCAATCCCAATCCTGTCTACCTTCTGCCTATCGAATTTATTCTCCAGTGGCGTCGGTTCTTACGCACACCTTCTCCAGACACTCTGCCTGACTCTCCACTCGCTTCGGCACTTGACTCTCCACACGTACTCTGCGAGCACGACAGAGTAAATACTTCTTCATTGCTTTATACCCATTTCTAGGCTATTATTTTTTCCAAGTAAATAAACACTTTTTGAATATCCGTGCTCATGCGGAATAATAGACCAAATTTTTCATTATATTTTTATTTTC